CACACACACACACACACACACACACACACACACACACACACACACACACACACACACACACACACACGTGTAGCAGGAGCGGCAGCGGGAGGAAGACCAAGGCCGGAAGGAGGAAGAGCGGGAGGAGCAGCAGGAGGGAGAGCTGAACAAGGACGATACATCATCTGTTGCGTTAAGCGGTGTGAAACAGAGGACGTGCGCGCGCGCGCGAGAGAGAGAGAGAGAGAGAGAGAGAGAGAGAGAGAGAGAGAGAGAGAGAGAGAGAGAGAGAGAGAGAGAGAGAGAGAGCTTCAGGCCATCCGCGCAGATTGATGATGTGTGAGGGCGCGCTATGCGGGACGAGCGGGAGGAGGAGCGGGAGGAGGAGGTCGGAGGAGGCAGTCGGGATCGGGGGAGAGAGGTGGCGATCGATGGAGGGAAGCCGGGATCGGGGGAGAGGTGGGGATCGCGGAGTGGGGGGAGGGACGCAGAGATCCGGAAGAAGGTCGGGGAAGGGGGGCCGGAAGCAAGTCGGGGAAGGGAGGTCGGCGGACCGAGGTAGGCAAAGGGAAGTCGGAGTAGGGACTTGGAGTAGGGAGGTCAGGGGAGGGAGGGGAGTCAGGATGGGAAGGGAAGTCCTCGGAGGGGGGTCAGACTCTGTGCAGCGAGGGAAGTCGAGATGGGAAGTGGGGTCGGGGGAGGGGGGTTGGGGAGTGGAGGTCGGCGGAGGCAAGTCGGGACAGGGAAGTCGGGACAGGGAAGTCGGGGCAGGGAAAGGCCGACGGGGGAGGGGGGCGGGCGTACGCGCGGACTCACAGAGTGAAGTATCGGTTAGGGAGGGAGGGGACAAACCGCTGTGGGGGAATCCAAGCTCGACGGGGTACCATCGTAGAAGGTGGGGGCGAACGGAAGGCGGGTGCAGACGATCTCCGTGGGTGGGACGTGGGACACGATGGATGCGTGCCGATGCGTGCCTGTGGCGAACGTACGGAGAAGAGGGGCGGGGGAGGAAGAGGCGGTGGGTGGGGCGAAGAGGGAGGAGGGGAAGTCGGGATGAAGAAATGGGATCGGAGAGGGAAGTCGAGATCGGGAGGCAGAGGTGGGGATCGATAGGGGGAAGTGGGGAGAAGGAAGCCGGGATGGGGAGGGAAATCGCCGGAGGGAGGCCGGGGGAGGGAGGTCAGAGGAGGGACTCGGGATCGAGGGAGAGAGGTGGGGATCGGTGGAGGGAAGCCGGAATCGGGGGTGAGGTGGGGATCGGGAAGTAGGGGGAGAGACGGTGGGATCCGGAAGGAAGTCGGGGAAGGGAGGTCGTGCAGCGAGATAGGCAAAGGGAAGTCTGAAGTCGGAGTAGGGACTCAGAGTAGGGAGGTCAGGGGAGGGAGGGGCGAGGCCGGGGTTCGGAAACTACGAGGCGACGGGCGGGGCGGGGTCCTTTCATGCGCAGGGAGAGAGAGAGAGAGAGAGAGAGAGAGAGAGAGAGAGAGAGAGAGAGAGAGAGAGAGAGAGAGAGAGAGAGAGAGAGAGAGAGAGAGA